GGTTTTAGGATATTGGCTTTGGGAGGGATTTCTAAACTGTCATATCTGAGCGCCTCTGCAAGACAGTGATTATGTATGAATGATGGTGAAAGTGTTGAATGATGATGAAAGTTTTTTCTTTAGTTTTTAGATTTTCTTTCTTTTTGGGTCACCCTGCCTCGGCGAGAAACAGCCAACATGTTAAAAAAAAATCTATTAAAACTGCTGGTAGTAAAATGTGTGCTTCCTATTTTCTCACTCAGTTGTGACTTGACAATAGTCCAGAATGGATCAAACAGTTGTCTGCAGTTTCCTCTCCCAAGTGTGGGTTTTATTGTAATGATAATTATTCTTTTCCCCATTGATAGTTTCCTTGTCAACATTTATATTTCAGTAACACCTAGTGTCTTCGTCGTCTTCTTCTTCGTCTTCGCCTTCTTCATCTTAGTCTTCGCCTTCTTCGTCTTAGTCTTCTTCACCTTCTTCGCCTTTGTCTTCTTCGTCGTCTTCTTCGGCGTCGTCTTCTTCTTCGTCTTCGTCTTCGTCCTCGTCTTCGTCTTCGTCTTCGTCTTCCTCCTCTTCCTCTTCCTCTTCCTCTTCCTCTTCCTCTTCTTCCTCTTCATACCCAGAATAATGTATATAGATCTGATTTCTTCCATTCTGTTTATTTCAATATACAGATTTTCTTTCTTTTTGGGTCACCCTGCCTCGGCGAGAAACAGCCAACATGTTAAAAAAAAATCTATTAAAACTGCTGGTAGTAAAATGTGTGCTTCCTATTTTCTCACTCAGTTGTGACTTGACAATAGTCCAGAATGGATCAAACAGTTGTCTGCAGTTTCCTCTCCCAAGTGTGGGTTTTATTGTAATGATAATTATTCTTTTCCCCATTGATAGTTTCCTTGTCAACATTTATATTTCAGTAACACCTAGTGTCTTCTTTCGTCTTCGCCTTCTTCGTTTTTCCGCCTTCTTCGTCTTAGTCTTGCCTTCCCCTTCCCGTCTTTGTCTTCTTCACTTCTTCGCCTTTGTCTTCTTCGTTTTCCCTTCGTCTTCGTCTTCTTCTTCGTCTTCGTCTTCTTCTTCGTCTTCTTCATCTTCTTCTTCGTCTTCCTCCTCTTCCTCTTCCTCGTCTTCTTCTTCATACCCAGAATAATGTATATAGATCTGATTTCTTCCATTCTTTTTTATTTCAATATACAGTACACTGCTGTATAAATATTTAAAGATATACCAGAAATGTTATAGATGGTGCAAAGGTGACATTAAAACAATATGAAACATTGGTTGACACAAACCAACTACCAGTGTAGTATGCTTCTCACTTAGTGACGAATTTGTTTAACGACGTGGTCTTAGGAACGGAACTCGGTCGTTAAGCGAGGATAGGCTGTAAATGTTTTCCCTTTTTAAAACTTTGTACTATACAGCAAAGTCTCATTTAGTATGAAATTGAATAGTACAAAATATTATATAGTATGAATTAAATAATGACACCAGATCTTATTTAATGTGATTCAAAATTCGGTTAGTATGAGTTTGTTGCCTGCCCAGTTTGCCTGTTGTGTGAAGACACGCCACAGCTTTTTATCCTAAATTTGTTTACAATATGTACTATAAAATATAGTACATGCTGTGGTACATCTAGTTCATAAACTGCCCTTAGTAGGTATGGACAGACTGAAGAAAACTTGTAGTGCAGATAATGAAAGTGCAAGTGCAAAACAAGAGACTTGCTATTACATTAGAACCAAAAATTGATGTAATAAAGTGACATGCTCATGGTGATGGCAACCTTAAAATAAGCCTAGGTGCTGCAATGATGAATCTGTGGTACATAACTGTTATAAAACATGCAGATAAAATAAAGAAAAAAAGTACAGTTGCATCATTTTTTTTGTGGCTTACAAACAGCTACTAGAAATAGAATCATTACAATAATAGAAATGGAGTATCTCTTATCAAACAAAGCTCTGAGTCTCTTTATGGCAGTGAAGGAAAATGGAATTCATGTGGAAACTGAAGAAACTTATTGTAAGCAATATTTGGGTTGATTCTTTTAGAAATCTAATTCAGTTGCATAATGGTAAAATTACTGGGGAGTCTGCCAGTGCAAATAAAGCAGCTGCTGATAAATATCCCAAGTTTTTGAAGAAAAAAGTGGAAGATGGTAGATACACACACAGACAAATTTGAAATTTATTTCTTGGTTACAATTAACTAGCAAGCAATGTGTGTGCAATGCAGAAATGCATTTGCTTCATTAGACAAATAATTTTGAGGGCTTTCCCTCTTAGGTGCAAGCTGTTGTTAAAGTAATAAGACACTGGAAGGCAGATTGGTGTCCATGAACTGGACTCTACAAGATGTCCATGACTTGCTTGAATCACACACTGAAGAAATGACAGATGGATACCATAATTTAGATCAACATTAAACTGTAACAACATTTTCATTGTTTAGTTTATAATAAACTTGAATAAGGAATACATTGTTTTTTCCGAACAAATTGGCCATCTCCCAATTTTTGTGTAAAATTTACCAAATTACCGACTTAGTGCACTGTATAGGATAGAAAACATCCTTTGGGTTTCCAGTTAATTCAAACAATTTAATATTTATAGGTCAGTAATGGAAAGTGAGTTGGGAAAAATAAGGAAAGAGGCAACAGAATTACGGAATGAGATTCACATCCAGAGTAACTCATCTCAAAACACTAGCACTCTTGTGCTTTCTCTGAAGCAACAACATGAGCATCTCTTACAACAGCTAGATTTGGTAAGCATCTTCTATTTTTGCTGGTGTATATTTTAACCCTTAAACTGTCCAAACATATCGATGTTCACATGAGTAGTGCTCCAAAAGTAGATCTACATTTTTTTACATATTTTCAAATATAACAAAAAAACGTAGATCAAAGTTTTTTTTAACGTTTTCAAATGTAAAAAACAAAAAGATCTACGTTTTTTTACATTGAAATGTTGAAAAAAATGTAGAGCTACGCTTGGACAGTTTAAGGGTTAATTGTGAATCTACATAATACATATTGAAAATTTAGATATCATATACAGTACAGTAGGGCCCCATTTACACGGCAGGTTAGGTTCTATGCTACCTCCTGAAAGCAGACATCGCCTAAAAGCAGAATGCCATTTTATCTACTTATAAATAACTTTTAATGCAGGACCAAACAACGTTTACACTAACTTATATTAAGTTAGCAATAGAACTTTGCATTAAAAACACAATAAAAATAAGATACACACAGAGTACACTTACTTACCTTAAAATATTAATATGAATGTGTGAGAGGTGAGTGGCAGTGTACATATTTAAGAAAATCAGGAGATGGCACACCATCATCCTCTGATTCTTCAACTAATTTTATTCGTTTTGGAGACTTGTGTGAAGCTCTTGAAGGAATGTGTGTTGCTGTTGATGTTGAAGGCTGTTCAAGGCTAGCTGTTGATGTTGAAAGAATAAATGAGAGAGAGAACTAGATACGGAGTTCAGACATTGTATAAACACAAACAGAATAGGTGGTGGGCAATCACTCGGTAAGGTGAAATAAACGCGTATTAATACGTGTCCACTTTTAGTTCTTTCACGTAGTTTGTAAGATTTGTGAAACTTTTCCCTCACAATTTTTTTTTTCTAATAATAATTACCTCACAGTACTAATATTACTCTTACATTGTGTACAAGTTAGTACAGAAGAATAAATAAATAGCAACACTCCCATTTTTAGGTGAATGATCTTTCATAAATGAAAATAGAGCACTAAACCTCAAAGGGTATGAATAGCTAAATTTAGAGTGAAGGCATTACCAATAGAATTATTCTTCAGAGTTATCCCCTGTAACTGGTGCTTGACTAGAGAAAATTGTATTCTTTCGGGACAACCCTACAAAGCAGCTGGTAAACATTTGTATTTTATCGTCAATTTTTATACTGTGGGTGTTTTGTGTGTCATGTTTATATGTTTTATAACATGTTTTTAGATAATTTTTAGAAAATATCATAGATGGATTATATGAAAATGTCTATATTAACGTAAAATAAGACATTTAATGTGCCCAAGAGTGCTTATTATTACGTAGTATTACTATGGCATTAACCCTTTGACTGTTTCGGTCGTATATATACGTCTTACAAGCCAATGTGTTTGTATTTATACTCAAAAAATTTCTAGCAGCTTCAAAATGATGGTGGGAGAAACTTGGGTAGGCCACATGTGAGAGAGTGGGTTCTGTGTGGTCACTGTACGCAGTATAAAAAAAATCCTCCGACCATGTTTTTGGATTAAAACACCGACTTTGAGGTGTATTTTCGTGTAGTATTTATGGTTGTATTCTCGTTTTCTTGGTCACATTTGATAGAATGGAAACGTATTATAGAAATAGAGGTGATTTTCATTGGTTTTACTATGAAAAGGACCTTGAAATGGAGCTCAAAGTAGCTGAAATGTTCGATTTTTGTCCGTGTTCAAGAGTAAACAAATGACGTCATTGTCCAATAAATGTCCAACTAGCCATTCTAATACGCCAGTCATGAATGAGTTGACATTATTTAAACAATTAATACAATATTGCAGTAGTCTGCATAACAGTAAATCTTATATTTTTTGTGTGAAAAAAATTCAAAATAGAAAGCAAGAGTAATATAAAAGGGGCCTGGAGACATGACTGATGAACAGAGAAAATGTTATTTTAGTGCTAGAAATGTCTACATTGTTCATTCTGGACTCCATTTTGAAATTGGCATATTTTTTAATTTGTGAAATTGACCAAATTGCCAATTTCTGACGACTTTATTGTCAGCATAGTTGCTGATCCCTGTGTTATATAGCATAGCATATTAGTATCATCCATGTGCTTTAGATAGGAGATCCCTTGTAGGCCTGTGACTTTGTGTGACGTCACGGGATGCGCATGTGTAGGCTCGTACCTCTGCCTCCCTCTCTCTCACTCGGCGGCAGACCATCCAGACAAGAACACGGCAAGGCTGGGCTCCATTTCCCATCATCACAGTCTGACAATATATCGTTACCATCCAACAAGTGTGTCTACCTTCTACCCTCGATATCTCCATTTAAGAACCCCTACGATAAATGGTGGCATCGGAGGGCCTGTAATTCTGACTATTACAGCGATTTCTGGAGATAAATTTCGACCAGCAAGACGGCCATTTCGTTTCACCAGTAGGCCTACCGAGGTTAACGCCAGCCTGCTACCTCAAGCCAGTTCTCCCGCCCAAGCTCCTACCAGCTTCTACATTATTCACTGGTCAGTCTCTTTGTATTAGTGTATCTGCTTATTTCCATCACTCCCGAGGGGTTGACCCGAGTTTGCAAAATAAGCCAGCTTCCAGTCTGTGGTGAGGAAGCCCAGTCGAGCCTAGTCTACCCCATCCAGTTCTTTTGCCTGCCAAGCCAGCTTTCCACCCCTGCTGTGCTCATCGTGTGAGGTTGTCAAGCTACTCTGTGTGAAGGGTTAAGATAAGCCAGCTAGCAACTAACCCAGGTGTCTTACCCCAGTACTCAAGCCACGTGAGTAGTCTTCATCGCTTGTGATTCAAGCTCCAAGCCATTCTGAGTGCTCTTTTTCAACCCTGTGGTGTTGTGGTAATTCGTGGGTTTGTTTTTAAGCCAGTCGGCTTAGAATTATCTTCGCGGCAGTGTGGCTGTCCTCAGTGAGGCTTACACCGTTCACCCATAGACCCAGCCACCCACGACCACGTGTGTCGCACCATTGCCGGTCTTAGCCCTGTTATACCCACAAACCCAACTACACTCACCACGCGGCCTGAGACGCCTCACTCAGCCATTACCCACTCATCTAACTTCTTCAGTGTTTTGGTAAACTACTAAGGGTTATAGCACCATATTTTAAGGACCACATAGGGGGTCAAGAGCTAGAGTGTGTTTTGTGCCACCGTTAAAAGCCTCCTGTGTGTGTCTCTCGTCGATGTAAGCGCAATTCTACGATCACGTGTGCAGAGGACAGCAGCAAGACCACATAAACAATCCTCCAACCTTCCTCCATCAACCTCATTCTTCACCAAGTCGTTACAGCGATAATATTTTTTTTTTCATAGAGACATTTGCGAGTGTTGAGACATTTCTTTTGTGTTCCAGTGATTTTTCTCTTAGTGACATTCAGTGACTTGATCAGACTCAGTGTTTATTATATACTGATTGCAATATTCTTTTTTTCTCTTCTTAATTCAGTGTTAATTTTTGTGCTATTATTTCATGTCTGTTGTGTTGTGTTTCTTTTTTTTATATACTTGAATTAAGTACCTTAGTGTTTTTCCTTTGTTGTGTGTGCAACATATGAGCAGTATAGAACTTGTGTTTACACTTCAAAATCACCTTGTGTTCTCAGTATTTCAGTAAATTTTTCACCTCATATTCTGGGTAGTTGAAATCGGTAAATGGGCAGTTTCTTTTACTCAATCATTAGAACAAATGGAGTTCTAAAGAAATAGCCGAGTTTGGTCGACTAGAACAATGTAATTGATTTAAAATAGGGCTCAAAGTGGGCGAAATCGCTGATGCGTAAATATCGCCTAGGTCACTAACTTCACAAGAGTGTAATTCCATAAGTTTTCCTTCAAATTTCATACTTTTGGTGTTGTTACCATGGGTAAAATATTGTTTATCATTTCATAAGAAAATTTTTATTTTTTTCTTCAAATATTTTTCGACACCAGAAGACACTTCAGGATTTGGGGCTTCAAAAGTTAAAGGGTTAAGACTAGAGGGACACTCTTAGTGATCTTAATGTGTAACAGCATGCCAGCACATTGTGTAAGTATATCTAGGTATAGGTACACAAATATAATTATCAGAGAAGGTGGGGTAGGGGTCGGCCTAGGAAAGGTTGGAGAGAGGGGGTAAAGGAGGTTTTGTGTGCGAGGGGCTTGGACTTCCAGCAGGCATGCGTGAGCGTGTTTGATAGGAGTGAATGGAGACAAATGGTTTTTAATTCTTGACGTGCTGTTGGAGTGTGAGCAAAGTAACATTTATGAAGGGGTTCAGGGAAACCAGCAGGCCGGACTTGAGTCCTGGAGATGGGAAGTACAGTGCCTGCACTCTGAAGGAGGGGTGTTAATGTTGCAGTTTAAAAACTGTAGTGTAAAGCACCCTTCTGGCAAGACAGTGATGGAGTGAATGATGGTGAAAGTTTTTCTTTTTCGGGCCACCCTGCCTTGGTGGGAATCGGCCAGTGTGAGAATAAAAAAAAAAAAAAGAAATATATAAAATATGCAATAAGCTTAAAACACCTGTAATTTTGGAAAGTTTCCAGACATAATAGAGATATGTGCTCAGGGAGCATGTAAGCAAACTGGGTGGGGCACGCCGTATTTGAAAGACAGAGAGCTGTATAGTGAGTTTTGGTCATAATTTGAAATCGCTGTATTATCAGAACACCATAAGGCAAAACACCGTAAAGCAGGACCCTACTGTATGTACTTATGTTTGTGTTACTCTTTCTCGTTTTTAACCCCTTGACTCTCGCAACCCCCAATCCTGAGGTGTCCCCTGGTGTCGCAAAATTTCAAAAAAAAAAAAAATATTTTTTTCTTATGAAATGATAGAGAATCTTTTCCCGATTGTAATGACACCAAAAAAAAAAAAACGAAATTTGATGGAAAACTGACGGAATTATGCTCTCGCGAAGTTAGCGACCTCAGCGATATTTACAAATCGGCGATTTCGCCCACTTTGAGCCCTATTTTTGGCTAATTCCGTTGTTCCAGTCGACCAAACTCATAGCTATTTCTTTAGAACTCCAGTTTTTCTATCGATTGAGTATGAGAAACTGCCCATTTACTGATTTCAACTACCCAATAAGTGTGTCAGAAATTTGCAATTTGGCCAATTTCACGAAAATTAAAAAATGTGACAATTTCAAAATAAGGTCCAGAATGAACAATGCAGACATTCCTGGCTCTAAAATAACATTTTCTTTGTTCATCAGTCATGTCTCCAGGCCCTCTGATATTACTCTTGCTTTCTATTTTGAATTTTTATTCAAACAAAAATAGAAGACTTAGTATTATGCAGACTACTGCAATACTGTAATAATTGTATAAATAACATCAACCCATTCATGACTGCATATTAGAATGGCTAGTTGGACATTTATTGGACAATGACATCATTGTTTACTTTTGAACATTGGCAAAAATCAAAACATTTCCCCTACTTTGAGCTCCATTTCCTGGTTCTTTTTATAGAAAATATCAAAATCACCTCTATTTCTATAATATGTTTTCCATTCTATCAAATGAGACCAATAAAATGAGAACACAACCATAAATACTATACGAAAATAGACCACAAAGTCGGTATTTTAATTAAATAATAAAAAAGGTCGGAGTTGTTTTTTTCTCATTATGCACTGCGTGCTCCAGGATTTTTTTATATGGTGCACACTGACCACACAGACCCATTCTCTCACATGTGGGCCTACCAGCTTTCTCCTGTATGATTTGAAGCCTCTAGAATTTATGAGTATATATACGTCAAACACGGTACCTCGTAAGACGTATGTATACGGCTGCGACAGTCAAAGGGTTAAAAGAAAAAAACACTCCATAATATATGCAAAATACATAATAAAAGAAAATTTTGTGATCTTTGATTTTTGTGTGACCATAAAAACACTTTTCGATGTTTGGCCGTTTCTCAGCTGGGTGCCGGCTTAGCAAAAATTGAAGGATCATCCGAGGTGGATCATGAACAGTTAGAAGCCCATCAACAGAAGTACAGCGAACAGCTGTTTAACCTCAGAGAGAATATTGAACACCTGAGTGGTCAGCTGAAGGAATTACAGGTACTTTTCTACTCTTAACAAAATTAAATTAATTTTTTGCCTAAATATATTTAATTTAAGATTGGCATTTTATTCTGGATAGTTTGATCATGCAGAAAGATTATGCAGTAATAATTTCCCATGCCAACATATTGAGATGTAATTTATGTAGATGAAATGGGAATGTGATAGTGTGTTTTCTGTCTATGTGTAGGACAGTGTGTGTAAAGGTAGAAAGTTGAAAGTGAGCATAGAAAAGAGTAAGGTGATGAGGGTATCAAATGATAAAGAAAAATTGGATATCAAATTGGGGAGGAGGAGTATGGAAGAAGTGAATGTTTTCAGATATTTGGGAGTTGACGTGTCAGCGGATGGATTTGTGAAGGATTTATTTATTTATTTATTTAGAAATTTTAGCATACATACATAGAATTGATGAAGGAAGAAAGGCGAGTGGTGCGTCGAGGTATGTGTGGAGACAAAAAACGTTATCTTTGGAAGCAAAGAAGGGAATGTATGAAAGTATAGTAGTACTAACACTCTTATATGGGTGTGAAGCTTGGGTTGTAAATGCTGCAGCGAGGAGGTGGTTGGAGACAGTGGAGATGTCCTGTTCAAGGGCAACGTGTGGTGTGAATATTATGCAGAAAATTCGGAGTGGTGGAAATTGGAGAAAGTGTGGAGTTAATAAAAGTATTAGTCAGAGGGCTGAAGAGGGGTTGTTGAGGTGGTTTGGTCATTTAAGAGAATGGATCAAAGTAGAATGACATGGAAGCATACAAGTCTGTAGGGGAAGGAAGGCGGGGTAAGGGTCGTCCTCGAAAAGGTTGGAGGGAGGGGGTAAAGGGTTTTGTGGGCAAGGGGCTTGGACTTCCAGCAAGCGTGCGTGAGCGTGTTAGATAGGAGTGAATGGAGACGAATGGTATTTGGACCTGACGAGCTTTTGGAGTGTGAGCAATGTAATATTTAGTGAAAGGATTCAGGGAAACCAATTATTTTTATATAGCCGGACATGAGTCCTGGAAATGGGAAGTACATTGTCTGCACTTTAAAGGAGGGGTTTGGGATATAGGCAGTTTGGAGGAATATGTTGTGTATCGTTATACGTTGTGTTCTGAGCACCTCTGCAAAAACAGTGATTATGTGTGAGTGAGGTGAAAGTGTTGAATGATGAAAGTATTTTCTTTTTGGGGATTTTTCTTTTTTGGGTCACCCTGCCTCGGTGGGAGACGGCCGACTTGTTAAAAAAAAAAAAAGTGTAGGACAGTTAAGTAATGACATTGTTGACTTAATATTAAACTTTCTTAAATCAATAACTTTAGTTAATCATAGCATCAAAGCCTCCAATTGCTGTAAAAAACTAAAGTTTAAAGAATTGTGATTATGGTGCCACTATGGGTGAGATGTGTGTGTACGTATTGTGTTATGTTAGTTTAGGATGAGAGTAATGGATAGGCAAGTAGGATCTGTTTTGGTATGGCCAAAGGCTTACTGCACTGCTTCTCTGTTTTTATATTACTATAAGACAACCTCCTACTTTTTTGCAAAACAGAATTATGCTTAAAACCTTGATCTATATTCATGTATACTCTGTACAGAATGACCATACCACCTTAGCTACAGAAGTCAAGAGCTGTTGTAAGAATGCTGGTATTACCCTGGCTGATGTCGAGAAGCACATAACTATGTTACTAGGAGACATCCTGGGTCTGCCAGAGTCATCCACTATCCATGCTACAGGAAAAACTTCTGGTGGTCCAGTGTTATGGAGTGCCAGAGACATGGAGCTTGGCTTAAAAGCTATTTTGTTGCCAAAGATGAACTGGAAACAAGACTTAATGGTTTGATGACAACATTGCAAGCAAAGACTATTTCAGGTAAACATGCAAAAATTTGTTGTGAATCTATAGTACTGAAGCTGAAGTAGTTCATGTGCAATACAGTAGGAGGCAATTATTACTAAACAAGGCATTTTTAATTTTTATATAATTTTCTACTTAACTTTTATTCTTAGTAGTACTATGGAAGATAAATATTTTAAAGATTTTAAATGTGAATACGGGTGCACAGAAAAATTAATGCAAAATGTTTAAATAAGAATGTATACCATTAAGGAGTTTTTTTTTTTTTTTTTTTTTTTTCTTTCTTTTCTTTTCTTCCCCAACAAGTCGGCCGTCTCCCACTGAGGCAGGGTGACCCAAAAAAGAAAGAAAATCCCCAAAAAGAAAATACTTTCATCATCATTCAACACTTTTACCACACTCGCACATTATCACTGTTTTTGCAGAGGTGCTCAGAATACAACAGTTTAGAAGCATACACATATAAAGATACACAACATATCCCTCCAAACTGCCAATATCCCAAACCCCTCCTTTAAAGTGCAGACATTGTACTTCCCATTTCCAGGACTCAAGTCCGACTATATGAAAATAACCGGTTTCCCTGAATCCCTTCACTAAATATTACCCTGCTCACACTCCAACAGATCGTCAGGTCCCAAGTACCATTCGTCTCCATTCACGCTCACGTACGCTTGCTGGAAGTCTAAGCCCCTTTCCCACAAAACCTCCTTTACCCCCTCTCTCTAACCCTTTCGAGAGACGACCCCTACCCCACCTTCCTTCCCTATAGATTTATATGCTTTCCATGTCATTCTACTTTGATCCATTCTCTCTAAATGACCAAACCACCTCAACAACCCCTCTTCTGCCCTCTGACTAATACTTTTATTAACTCCACACCTTTTCCTAATTTCCACACTCCGAATTTTCTGCATAATATTTACACCACACATTGCCCTTAAACAGGACATCTCCACTGCCTCCAACTGTCTCCTCGCTGCTGCATTTACCACCCAAGCTTCACACCCATATAAGAGTGTTGGTACTACTATACTTCATTACATTCCCTTCTTTGCCTCCATAGATAACGTTTTTTGACTCCACATATACCTCAATGCACCACTCACCTTTTTTCCCTCATCAATTCTATGATTAACCTCATCCTTCATAAATCCATCCGCCGACACGTCAACTCCCAAATATCTGAAAACATTCACTTCCATACTCCTCCTCCCAATTTTGATATCCAATTTTTCTTATCTAATCCATTTGACACCCTCATCACCTACTCTTTTCTATGTTCACTTTCAACTTTCTACCTTTACACACATTCCCAAACTCATCCACTAACCTTTGCAATTTTCTTTAGAATCTCCCATAAGCACAGTATCATCAGCAAAAAGTAACTGTGTCAATTCCATTTTGAATTTGATTCCCAAAATTTAATCCACCCTCTTCCCAAAACCCCTAGCATTTACTTCCTTTACAACCCCATCTATAAAATATATTAAACAACCATGGTGACATTACACATCCCTGTCTAAGACCTACTTTTACCGGGAAGTAGTCTCCCTCTCTTCTACACACCCTAACCTGAGCCTCACTATCTCATAAAAACTCTTTACAGCATTTAATAACTTACCACCTATTCCATATACTTGCAACATCTGCCACATTGCTCCTCTATCCACTCTATCATATGCCTTTTCTAAATCCATAAATGCAATAAAAACTTCCCTACCTTTATCTAAATACTGTTCACATATATGCTTCAATGTAAACACTTGATCTACACATCCCCTACCCACTCGGAAACCTCCTTGCTCATCCGCAATCCTACATTCTGTCTTACCTCTAATTCTTTCAATTATAACCTTACCGTGCACTTTTCCTGGTATACTCAGTAAACTTATTCCTCTATAATTTTTACAGTCTCTTTTTGTCCCTTTTCCTTTATATAAAGGGACTATACATGCTCTCCGCCAATCCCTAGGTAAGGAGGTGTGTATTAGCCTTAAATAGATATGTGTTGCTACTTCATTAGTTATGATGGACCTCCTGATTTAGGTACAACACTGATTTTCCAGCACCCATGGTTCCTAGGCCTGGCCAAAATATAAATTTTGCCAGACCAACAGAGGTCCATAGTAATTTTTTTCTACAATACACCTCGACCCACCATGGTCTACTGGAAACCCAAGTTAAACATTAATACGGGGAACCTCAAAAATCGAACTGCCCCCAAAACACAACCAATTATGAAAGTGTATTTTGTAAGTGTTTTAAAAGTGTATTTTTAAAGGGGTTAAAAGGACTAATCTAATTTACATTTTCCTGAGGGGAAAAATTCATTCGGTAAAGGCCTCGAAAGACTTCGGAGAAAAAAAAGTTCGATATTTGAGGTTCCCTGTTATATGAAAGGGGATTATTAATTACTGTATTGACAAAGAATGTTGCATTTGCCACCACCCCCAAATGGAAAATTTTTAAAATTTTTTACTGTAGAGGTAATCAAAAAGGGTTGGAAGTGGGGGTTGTAGGATTATTGTCTGTTGCCAGGTGTTTTTTAAAACAAATAACAAAAAAAGGCAAATACCGTGAGGGAACGAACACAAAAACCCGCACATAAAAGAGAGAAGTTTAGATCGTTTTGGCCCGACTGGTTAGGTGACCCTTTTTCAATGGCCAAATTTGGCCGAAATTGTTGTAAGCTTTCTTTACTGTGACTTATATAATGGATGTGTAATGTTCAAGGGGATTTTTAAATGAAAAAACCCAGCTGTGACACTTATTCTTCATGGCTGTCTTTAACCCCTTTCAGGGTTGGTCGTATAGAGGCTTGCACGCCAGGGTTGGTGCCGTACTAGTACGGCTTGACGCAGGTTGGTGCGTACTAGTAGGCTTTCACGCCCGGGTTTGGGGCCGTATGTTGGGTTTCACGCCAGGGTTGGGGCCCTACTATACGGGGTTGCACGCCAGGGGGTTTGGGGCCCTACTATACACTAAATTTTTAGCGCCCTTTTATGTAGAGAGAGAAAGCTGGTGGGCCTCATATGAAAAAATTTGGGTTTTTGTGGTTTAGTGTGGGACTAAAAAAAAATCTTGAACCACGTGCATAATGAGACAAAAAAACTCCCTGTTTTTGGGTTTAAAACAGCGCTTTGCGTGTATTTTCATATGTATTTATGGTTTTATTCTAGTTTTTTTTGGTCTCATTTTATTAAGGAAGAACTTACAGAAAAATTTAGATGATTTTTATTGGTTTTCACAAAGAAAAGTCCCTTTAAATTTTAGCTCAAAGTAAAGAAATGTTTTGATTTTTGCCAAGGGTTTAAAAAATAAATAAAACAAGCTGCATCCAAAACCATCAACTGTGAATCTAAATTCTTTTACAAGTGCACTGATATTTTTAAATTCCCTTTCTAACTATTTCTCAATAACAGTTGTCTGCAAAACGTAAATCTTCTTTTTTTTGTGAGAATAAAATTCAAAGGGAAAGCAGAAGAAATGTAACGAGGCCCGGGGCATGACTAATAACAGAGGGAAATATTTTTTTAGTGCTAGGGAAATTTTGTTTGTTTATTCTGGCCCATTGGGAAATTGGCATCTTTTGAAATTTGTGTGAAATTGGCAAATTGCCAATTTCAGACCACTTTATTGGATAGTTGAAATCGGTAAATGGGTGGTTTCTTGTACTCATTTGATAGAAAAAATGGAGTTCTAGTGAAATAGTTATGATTTTTGTCGACTGGTACATTGGAATTGGCTGAAAACTGGGCGAAATCGCTGTTACATAAACATCGTCGAGACCACCAACTTCGCGAGAGCGTAATTCCGTAAGTTTTCCATCATATTTCATAGTTTTGGTGTCATTATGCTTGGGAAAAAGATTCTCCATCATTTCATAGTTTTTTTTTTTTTCCCCTTCTCTCTCCCAGAAAATTTCCGACCCTGAGAACAAGTTTAGGAGAGGGCCTGCCGACCCTGAAAGGGTTAAATATTTTATGGAAGCAGGTTGGTAGACAGCAGCCACCCAGGGAGGTGCTACCATCCTGACAAATGAGTGTAATTGTTTTACATGATGGTAGGATTGCTGGTGTCTTTTCTCTGTCTCATAAACATGCAAGATTTCAAGTGCATCATTCTACTTCTACTGACACTTAGGTCACACTACACATACATGTACAAGCATATACAAATACCATCCGACTTACTACCGAGCGTTCCGACCAGCTGGTCGTCGGTCAAAATGAACGTTAAGTCGATCCTTTGAAAATTGCCGACATACTGGGTAGGGCATAATGTCAAACCTTTGCTATATAAACTACCTACATAGTACTGTAATGTAATGTACAATCATTATTTCATTCTCTTTACCATAATGTACTATTGATATATTTTAATCATTTATGTACTGTTTATTATGTATACAGTGGACCCTCGACTAACGGCGGCATTACGTAATGGCAATTTCGTCTAATGGCGCTTTTTGGCATAAAAAAAAAATGTAACAACAGTGAAAAACTCTACCAACGACTTTCGTCCAGAACATATCCATGTGCCGAGATAGTGGCCTGAGTGGGCCCAGCCACTCCAAGACTCAGTGTGCCATTGTTTACAAGCTGTTGTGGTCGGTTTCCACGTGTGCCTCCAATATATTTTGGATTATTCCACTGTTTTTAGCGCTTGTAACTGCTAAAGCTTCTAGTGCCAAGCCTGTGTTTTTAAAAAAAGGGTGAGAATTACGATGGAAATGAAGGAGATCATTGAAAAATGTGAGAGTGGAGTCCGTATGGCTGAGTTGGAAAGGTAATACAATAAATCACATTCAACCATCAGTACTATCTTGGCGAACAGACAGGCAATCAAGGAAGCTTTTGTTGCGAAAGGTTCAAGTATGTTTTCAAAACGGAGACCGCTAATAATTGAAGAGGTAGAGACTGTTATTGGTATGGATAAACGAAAAACAATTATCATGTGATAGTGTTTCTCAGTCTATAATTTATGAAAAGGCAAGGAAGTTGCATAATGAT